AAATTTATGTTATTGACAAGTTATCATTTGGAATATTACGATGATGTGCAACACTTCAGCGTTATGCCATTCCAATCACCTTTTTTTGATTTATTGTTATTCTTATCACCGCTTTCAAATTGTATTTATTCGTTTGATAAAATTGTTTGATGAAAGTTAGAAATATAATAATGAATTCGTAATGAATCGAGTGTGATACTCAATTAGCGTATTCAGTGGATTTATTTGTGTTTATGTGTAAATTCAGTTATATAAATAAAATTTGAATTGCAGAGGACTTTTAGAATGTTGTTCTCAGATGCGCGAAACAGCCGAGGAAATAATATCGACGAAATTGGATATTCTTTTGAGTCTATCGTTTATATGTGTTCAATTTTGTGATGTTTCAAATGAGGAGGCATCGCAGTTCGTTGAGGTTAGTCGTATTCGTTGATGTAGGTGGGGGTGCAGTTCAATTCTTAGAATATGGCATCCAACCTCGTAAATTGACCGGTGGAAAATCGGTCGATTTTTTAAAAAAATTCCATTTTCAGCAGAAATTTTACATGTAAGAAATTTCAGAATGAACTTCGAGCAATCGAAGATTGTGTAAAGGGTAGTTATCCGGCAGAAACGGCCGCGCTGATGGTACAGAAGGTGTATCGCATCGGAGACAATCTCGAGAAACATAAGAGTGCTCTGGCTGAGCGATCGGCCATCAGTGAACAGACTTTGAGCAGCAGCCATGATAATAACACTGATAATAACAATGATAGCAATAACAATAATAATATCACCACTAATAATAATGGTGATGGTTCACCAGCTGCCGTTACATCTGCATAGCAGCAACGCATTGTCGAATAACATATATATTCTGCGTAATACTGCTCATTCAACTAGCAGTTTCCTTTCCATCGAGAGCTGGAGATGTTACGAGTTTGAAGGCTTGTTTTTGGAATTTGATTGTACATTAGATGTTATTTGTTACATTCTTATTGTTGGCTTCATTATCATTGATATGCTATCATTTGGCTCTAATGCATTATGCTCAGATGCATTTTCCGTAAGAATCTTCGTGTGTTTACTTCACAAAATTATAGGTTTGTTGACAAATAGAGTGCATTATTATTATGTTGTTGATATATGATACATAATTATGGGATTGTTCATTCATACGTTCGTTGATTGATGATGTTTTTGAATTGGAATCCGAATCTTGACATAACTTATCTCCAAACAATTGCTCAGTATTTTTTGTTCATTTGTTTTGTTTCATTTTATGACGAAATAAAAGTTTTGACGTTTCTTCGTGTTGTCTTTTGTTGTGTGGTACGCAATAAACAATTATAGATAGGTGTTTTTTTTATTATTAGCAAGTTTTTGAGATTATATTATTGCGTTGCGTTCATTATTGTGAATATTATCAACATTTTGGTTTCATCAAATAAATAGACAATTCAAAGACTAGAATGTGAAGAGATCTTTAGGATTTTGATGAAGATTTTAGGGGACATTTGAAAATTTGTATCTCCCGGGAAATAATATCATAGGAGATTAGTTTTTGATCTATAATTTTGATCTTTGCAAATTATTCAAAGGTCAATATCTCTGAATATGATCAGAGAGTATTACGATAGAATACTATTGAGACTGATAGAAGCAGACGAAGAAGTGCCGTCATTGCGTGCTAATTCAGCATTACTTTCGCTATCATCACTCTCTCGTTTTTGTATTCTGCCGATGTTGTCTGCATCACTGCCGCCTTGATTAGCATCACCAACACACTCCATATTTCCATCTTCTTTCAGTTTTCTCAGCTTCTCATGCTTACGAAATTTTGCACGACGATTCTGGAACCAAACCTGAAAAAAATTGGAGATTTCGTCGAAGGAAGTCGAGCGATTGGAAGTATTTGGGCCAGTTGAATACTGGAGCATATGACGAGAACAATATCCATCCATATCAGAGAGCAAAACCCTCAAGCACACCATATCCTCATATCAAGAGCAAAGCACCAGAGAGAACACAAACCTGAACACGCGCCTCGGTGAGATCAATGCGCATCGCGATATCCTCACGTGTGTATATATCCGGATAATGTGTCTCCATGAAGGCCCGCTCCAGCTCCTTTAACTGTCCCGAAGTGAACGTCGTCCTGATACGACGCTGTTTCCGTCTCTCCGACGGATTGCTGCAACCGACGGTTGCAGTGCCACTTCCACATATCGCTCCTTCAAGTGAATAGTTACCGTAGATGGGGTACGGTAGATGGGAAATGATGCTGTAGATTGAATTATATTGATAGAATTATTGTAGCAGACAGATCAGTAGTAAATCAAAACAAAACAACGATCTAAGAGGAGGGATCAGATGAAAGCACAAACCAACGAGGGAAGGGCCCGGAATACCGGCCATCAAACTGGCTGCAGCAGCAGCACTGGGACGCATTGCGTCGGCTCCAGCCGAGATCAGTGATGTTTGATTTTGATAGAGCTTATAGGGAAGACCTGCAACGGAAGATGCGATTAGGACGCGATATGCAATCATTACGAGCTCGCAGATTGAATACAAACCTGAATTGAAAAATGCTTGTAGGGAATCAGCCGCATGTGTGCGATACTGTTGAGGGGTGGCAGCAGCTGAATTTGCTAGACCTGAAGTGACAGAGGAGGAATTTGAGTTGTTCGACGACAAGCTGGCGTTCACGGATGATGGTATTATCGAGTGATGGTGATGGTGGGCATTGGCCAAGTGTCTGAAATGAAATTCGCTCGGATATTCACCATTTAAGAACATTTAGAGCAGTTAGTTGCGCAAAGCAGATCGTAACCTCACCTGTACAGAGCATTCGAAAAAATGTCATTTCAGAACTAGTAAACTCAAGTTTATTCAGCAGCACAGCAGTTTT